CAATCTGAGCGCGAATTAGAGAGAAATTACTGTATCCATAAATTCTTCTAGCGTCTTCACGGTTTTATACTCAACCCTGTTCGGTTTTTTCATAAATGCGATGCCAGCGATAACATTTGCTTCAGTAAATTATAACTTCGTGAAATATTGAAAAGTAATATAAACTTGAAAAATAATAAATAATATATACTGACAATAATAACGAGAATCCGTGTGCTTGGTTGACAGTGTGCGGTGTGGGAAGAAAAATAAGGATCGTTGGCGGAGACGTGGCAAGCGTTTACGAATACCCATGGATGGTTAGCATGAGCAACCACGGTACATTTTACTGCGCGGGAAGTTTAATCACTCGAAGACACGTGCTCACGGCGGCTCACTGCATGGAGGGGTAGGTTACGCCACGAAAACGCATTCCGTTTCGAGCCTTCAATTTATACGTGCGATATCGATTCTCATATTTTCGGGACGTTAGATTCCTATCACGAATACAACCCCTAGCAAAAAGGATACGATCATCTTTCGAAATGGAATAATTTTTTTAAAAGTGGCCTAGCGACTTTTTTTTAATTTGTTAAAGGGACTAGTTTACAGTACACAATGACTAGCATACTTTCTTTTAAATTTTGCTATTACATATTATATATATATTAATATATATATATTAAATATAATAAACCACTAACTGGTTAAAGTATAATAATATAATATAATATAACAATATAATATATAATATAATTAAATATAACACTTTTATAAAACATACAATTTAATAAAGAATATAAAAGTATATATAATGTATATATTTATACTATATTTAGTATTATATTTAATATATATATATTAAATATATTTTTTTATTTGTATTATTTATGGATTATTTATTTATATTTATATTATATTATATATTATTTTTTTATTTATTTTATTTATATTATTTTTATTTAATATATATATTAAATATAATACTAAATATAGTATAAATATATACATTATATATACTTTTATATTCTTTATTAAATTGTATGTTTTATAAAAGTGTTATATTTAATTATATTATATATTATATTGTTATATTATATTATATTATTATACTTTAACCAGTTAGTGGTTTATTATATTTAATATATATATATTAATATATATATAATATGTAATAGCAGAATTTAAAAGAAAGTATGCTAGTCATTGTGTACTGTAAACTAGTCCCTTTAACAAATTAAAAAAAAGTCGCTAGGCCACTTTTAAAAAAATTATTCCATTTCGAAAGATGATCGTATCCTTTTTGCTAGGGGTTGTATTCGTGATAGGAATCTAACGTCCCGAAAATATGAGAATCGATATCGCACGTATAAATTGAAGGCTCGAAACGGAATGCGTTTTCGTGGCGTAACCTACCCCTCCATGCAGTGAGCCGCCGTGAGCACGTGTCTTCGAGTGATTAAACTTCCCGCGCAGTAAAATGTACCGTGGTTGCTCATGCTAACCATCCATGGGTATTCGTAAACGCTTGCCACGTCTCCGCCAACGATCCTTATTTTTCTTCCCACACCGCACACTGTCAACCAAGCACACGGATTCTCGTTATTATTGTCAGTATATATTATTTATTATTTTTCAAGTTTATATTACTTTTCAATATTTCACGAAGTTATAATTTACTGAAGCAAATGTTATCGCTGGCATCGCATTTATGAAAAAACCGAACAGGGTTGAGTATAAAACCGTGAAGACGCTAGAAGAATTTATGGATACAGTAATTTCTCTCTAATTCGCGCTCAGATTGTGCACAGAAATGGAAGAGGAAACAATTGGGAGGAGGAGATACGATTATTCGAGCCTTGCGGCTCGTTCTTACAGTTACCAAATATGTCAACAACTATAAAAACGAGACGCAAAGCTCGAATAATCGTATCTCCTCTTCTGAAATTGTCCATTTTTGTGCGCGATCTGAACGCGAATTAGGGAGAAATTACTGTATTTCTTACGTTACTTTCAAATTATTACAATGATTGAAAAAGGAAAAAACGTTGTCATGTAAATTGTGTACGTTTTAAAATTAACTTCGACAATTTTTATCTTGATCGTTGCTTACCACAGTCGTCGCAGACGTTCGGCCTCTTCGGTGAATTGAAACCAAGCTCGGCTTCAGCGTTCGTAATGTTATAGCGTATCTGGCCATTCGAGATGCGAAGAAGCCTCTGATCGATCTGCGTTATCTAAAAGAAATACAGAAAAGTGGAGATCGAACGTGAAATTGTGACACGTAATTGTTGCGTGACTTTATTGCAAAGTTTCCACTCGTTCCTTGCACTTCCATGCACTGATGTATACACAAAATCTACGGTTTCTATGGGACGTTTCGATCCAACGGTGTTACTTTTGGATAATATTAAAATTAAAGCGTAATGATTCTTACTTTCTACTCTCAGATAATACTCATATGAGAAGAATTTACCTCTCACAGAAAGTATCCACGACTTGTTAACAGTCAATCGAGTCCCTAAAAGTAATTAACGTGCGTTGCTTCGTAACGATGGAGAGACTGTATTTATTTAGACCGCTCGCTATTTTTATTTTAACGTAAATTTGGGTTAAGAAATTTATTCGCTCGTTCTCTAGGAAAGAGGCTTTACAATAGCAGCAGATTTAACATTAGATTTACGATGCACAAAAAACAGCTGATTTATATTAGCTTGTAAAAATAACAATGAGACATTTGTTCTGACTTTTTAACAAGTGTTATTGTAACATTTGTCGTAAGTAACATACGAATTGAATAAATAACTCGTAAATGTATCTTTACGTTATGAATAATCGTAAATTAAAAAATTAGTGACCCGCCATTTTGACGGGTCCCGTAAATCCAGTGTTAAAGCGAAGTGAAATCGATCACTTAGATACAAATCGTTGAGAAGAATCTAAGCTCACAATCTGTCTGCAATTTTCGCGAGTTCTTCGAATATGAAAATTCATATCGGATACATCTCGACGCCGTTGACACCGATTCAATTTCCTGTCAAGCCCCCGTTCCTCTAAAATCGAGCACACCTGTTTGACAGTGCGTAGAAGCGCACCCTTTGACGCTATGCGAAACGAGAAAATTGGAAGTTATTCAACAAATATGAATCGTTGAATATTTCCGTAATTTACAATACCACGAAAAAATGTCATCTAAATAATTAATACACCACAAATAGTCTCACACCTAACGAAGAACATTTGCATCGGAATACGACCCTATTTGCACCGCGGCAGTTTCGTGCATAACATTTGTTCGTATCGTCGCAGAAGACAGAAACGCGTCAGCTGTAAAATCGAAACAAACGAATCGCCATCGAACCGACATGTGAACCGTTTAATTTCAGCGCGGCGTAGCGTCGAACGAACCACTGCGCTTTTCCGTCCGTCTCGAGCGCATAGAAAAATTCCGCGGGCGCGTCAACGTAACACAGCCAGCGCGGTAACACACGCGTCTACCAGAAAAACTTTTGTTCGAATAATCGCGACAACGAGCGTCGCGTGAAAACGAGATGCATAACTCACCACTGGGGGCAACGCGTAGCCGCAGCAGCATATCCCCAGGAGGATGAAGAGTTTCTGTTGCATTGTGTGCTGCACGACGGGTACGGTAACAGTGTTGCAGCTCGTATGACGGCCGGCAGTTCGACAAGTGGATCCTCTGAATTTCGATCCGCGACGGTTGTCCGGTGTAATGGATGGTGCCGGGTGGCCGGGTGCCGGTGCCGGTGCCGGGCGTGAAAAGTCTAAAAGTGTCGCGATCGTTTTGCCGTTTTATAGTAAATTATAACTATCGAAGAAACCCGGCCGGTGTTCGGTGGGGATCGTCAACCTTGAGTGGTGCGATTGCATTGGCAGATGTTGCATGTGACAGCTTTTAAATCAGCCGACGCCGCGGCGTGTCGGCGGCGTTGTCTCACCTGTACAGAGACCACCCACCACGGGCGCAACAGTAAAACGCTGATTTAACCGTGTACGAACGCCGAGGACCATGGCTGTGCGCGTCTCTCGGCCGAGCATCAACCACCATCAACGAGCAATGTCAACACGGGGACCACCTCGTCCCCCCTTCACCGCTGTACCCTCCGTTTGCCATTGTTCTTCATCTTCTTTTACGACTCGCGGCTCCTGGATCCCTTTCCTTGACGTCCTCCTCCTCCTCCACCCCCCTCTCACGCGCTCGCGCGCCGCTAGATCCGGAGATCTAGTTGACACAATCGATATCACTTTCGTCAGCCGACAGCCTTCGCGCTACCCCCGATCCTCTTCTGGCATTGTTCTAGTTCGAGGTGCCACAGATAGCGCGCCGGAACCGCTGCGCGCTGCTCCCGAATCGCCGAAACATGGCCGGAGCCACAGAAATTCATTCGTTGGTGGAGGTATTTCCACTGTTCTCGATTAATAATTCCACTGTACTCGGGTATTAATTCGATTGATAAGCGCTCGATGTTGTCGCTTCGACGCTGGATTCATGGAACCCGTCAAAATGACGGATCACTAATTTTTTAATTCATGATTATTCGTATCGTAAAATATATATTATGTATATATAAATGTATATATAAAATGTAATATGTATATATCTGTATATATATATAAATGTAATATATAAAATATATATATATATATAAATGTTACAATAACACTTGTTCAAAAGTCAGAATAAATGTCTTATTGTTGCTTTTATAAAGTAATATGAAACAGCTGTTTTTTGTACTCCGTAAATCTAGCGTTAATATCTTGTTTAAATGTTGCCACGAATTGTCACGGTTCTCGCGACGCGAACTGCGCTGTCGAACAATGCTCAGTTCGAAGTGAATAATTTCGAAGAGACCGTATTAATCTTAACGCGAAGCCTACCAGTCAAAATGACTGACATCGCGTTGTTTATTTACCAATTGTCGAAGTTATGAAGACGCATTGATGACCGGTAACGAGTTGACTCGTGATCTTATTGCCCAGACGTTGAGAAATTGCCGGTCAATAATGCGCTAAGTGAGGATAGGATAAATCGCATCGAAATGGAAATTGCAAAGAGCCGAAATAAATTCAGTCTTACCATTTTTATAAAGCTGCACGTGTTAGGCGCTTTTAGAGCTGCTTAATTTCACGAAACGGATCCTGTTCCAGAAAGTAGGCATAAAATATCTATAGGAATAGAATATAAATATATTAAAAATATACTAATATATAAAATATATATAATATATCATATTATATATAGTAATATATTATATTAAAATATTATTAATATATTATAATATATTAATAATAATATATTAATATAATATATATAATATATAAAATATATTAAATTAAAATAAAGTAGGTACTAAAATATCCGAAATTTACGCGACGTTGTAAAATTGTGAGATACATTATGGCAAACGGGAGGTAAAACTGTATAGACTAATATCAAAGATGAAGAGAGAAAGTTGTGAATTCTACAACATCCTGCTAAAGTTATTATTGAGGCTTGTACAGTTGGTGCTCTTAGCTTTCGGTATATTAAAAAATTAACTGCCAAGAGATACCTCTATGTCAAGGTTATTTTGTTTAATAGGTTTGGGTTAAGGAGTTTCGTACAATATAGGGCACTCGTGCTGTTAATTTAACACTTTGGACGAGCTTCTTAATAGTTTTTATAATGCAAATTTTGAACTCACGCGTAAAGGACATATGAAAGACAATTTTGCTTTTCTTGGAAGAAAGTTTGTATCTTTTTTTACCGAACTATTGTTCAACCGATTATATTTTACAAACGGATATCCAAGTTACGAGGTATTTGTCAAAACGATTTTGATGGACTTTACAAAAGGTACAGAAAAATAATAAACACGTGTCTTTTTGTTATCTGTCATTGTTCGCGTCGAAGGGTTGAAAGCAGTCCTCGAAGTTGGGGGTCGAAACCCTTTAATTTCGACAAACGCTCGTCCGTCGTATCGAATTGACGATATCGTTTTCTGAAGCATTAAGTTCAGATCTGTGATCAGTGAACTTGGAAACGTTGCGTTAACAATTTTTATGGAAATCGAATCATTTTATCAAGCACCCGTCCGCCACATTGGATCGGCGATTTTGTTTTCTGATACTTTCAGCTCGGATTTGTAATCGGGGACCATGAAAACATTAAAACACAAATTGATCAGTTGAACAGAGTCTTCTGATTTTAGCCAGGTTTTGACCATTTAGTATCATTATACAATGTGTCGATAGCTGAAGATGCGAGACGACCTTGTGTTCGCCGATGGCTTTGGCTTACATCTTCTTGGAGTTCGAGGATCGAGAGTTTCCGCGAGGACGGGATCGGATCTCAGTTGGCGAACAGAAAATCGAGTTCAACGGCGGGTTCGCGAAGTTTCGAAAGTTCATCCGAAGAACTACAACACGTTCGCCAGCATCATTTATTTGAATAATAGTCGCACGATAATATTTGATCGACGTTATAAAGCAGATATTAAGTCTCCGATGTCCGTTTGTTTGTCCTGTTCGACGGATTTCTTTCGGGTGTGAAATTGTAAATGAACTACAATTTGTCGAGTAAAAATAGGTAAATCGTTATTTAAGGAACTGTCGAGCAAATTACGTTTGAGAAGTGAACGAGGGATAAAAAGAAAATCCTCAACCCTAAACCGAACTATCTGCATCCATAACTCTAAACTGAAGATCGCATAGCAACGTTCACATAATTTATTTGGCTTTGTGCACGAAATATTGTGATAGTTTAATAAAAGAAAAAAGAATTTTCGTTGAGCTTGTTTCGAGAGAATTTACAGGAAAAGAGGATTGAAGAAATGAGCTCAATCTTTATTAAATAAATAGTTAGATAAAAGCGGGAGATAAGATTTAATAAATACTTAACCTATATGTTCCCCACTTATCTGTTACAAATTCACTATTGTTTATATTTGCTTGTTAGTCGAGCATGCAAATTCGAAACCTATTAATAATATTAATAAATAATAATTCTATTTATTTGAAGACTATTTTATGTTTTTATAGAATAACTTTATTAATCGCCGCGGATAAAAACAATATTTCACTTCTACTTATAATTACGAACGGTTTGAATCGCTGTAACAAAATGAATATTTATACGTTAATAAACAAGCAATTCAGCCGGATCGGAGAAACTTTTTATTCAATGCCGTTTCAACATTTATTTAATTCCAAATCATGAGAAAACCACATTGGCTGCGTCGTTCAGTATTTTATTTATATTTACTATATCTTGTTTTCTCAGTCGATTTCATTCGAACTTATAAATTCTCGAGTAGTTTTCAATTTCATTCTCCCAAATGCTAATTTATCGAATCGAACGCGTTTAATTAATTTTCCTATGTTCTACCATCGCGTTTAACGGTCCTGGCTCGATGAACGAGTTTTAATTAAGCGCGATTCCCTTTATCGAATGAATTATGCATCGTCCCATTCATTTGCCCCGACGAAAGTCCTGGGCTCCGCGCGAGTTCAAAAGCGAATCAGACCGTTCCGTTGCATCTGCGAAATAATTTCGTTCGTAGCATCGGCAGGCGAAATGTTTTACTACAGGCGATTCCAAGAAGTTTGCCGCGCTATAACAACATTACGTGAGTTACTTATTGCGGCGTGAAAATCAGGTCAATGTAATAGCGGCGTGTCTTCGGATTCGTAAGGCCGGGGCAAACGTGGAACGGACAGCCGTAGAAACGATTGTTACCATTGTTACCGTTTCTTATACGCCGGGAGACCTTCGCAAGGGTTTTGTAATCTCATCGGCGCGATGCTTCCCGTTTCACTAATCGCGGATCAAACGAGCCCCTGATTATCTTATGTAAATTCGAGCCGGCCAAATAAACCTGCTTTTGTCGAACGAAGATAATCGTTATTCATCGTTCATCCGACGGATTATACACGGCTCGACGCTAGAAACAGAAAGTTTCATATTTATTCAGCTAATTAAATTGAGCCGGGAAGATGCTGTAATTGCTCGGAAACCGTACACCACGGACTGCTCGAAGCCCGAGTGGCCCAAATATTGCAAGTCCTTTCGCTCGTGAAAGTTGAAATATAGTCGGAGTATAGGTAATTAGCTGTCGTAAATTTATGTTAGCTGAAAGCAGAGTTGGGCATTATTCGAATTGTTTCGAATAAATATTCATCTAAGACGATTATCCGAGAGTGGACTCATTTTAATCGAATATATTTGAAAGAAATAAATAACAAGTAAATTACTCTATCTATTTATTCGAGGAAATCGTTCGCGCAATGTTTTTACATTGTTAGATTCTGATGTTATTTCCGATTATTCTGACGTTGGATTCTAAAATTATTCGAATAATAATGCGGATATATATTAAAGAATTATTCTATAATTATTCTATAAT